CCTTGAATCTGGTCCGCTGGCCAGCACGTGTCTGCTTCTGCACTGGCATGATTTTCAACACCTCATCCTTGAGGGACATGCCCAGGAAGAAGTCGATGATCTCAGATTCCTGTGAAAAAAAGTTTATCTTAAGGGGAAACAGAATATCACTTCTTGTTTCCATTAACTGCAGTGGGGGAATTGAACGGCCAACCTCTCCTTTTAACAGCCAACTATTCAAATATTACAATTAGGTCTCTTCGTAAGTTTGGAGTAAATCTCCCAAACAATGCTACTTTCGACTCCCAGCAACCTCAGAGAGTAGTGGATTTGTACCGTCCACCAGCCAAGCAAACATCAAGTCAGAGTTGGGAAGGGAGTGTAGAACCACTGTGCTGGTTCCTGAGGTCGAAAATCTTCAGAGCAGACACTTCATTTTTCTCAAGCAGAAAAAAAACCTGAGTTTCAACTGTTAGCTAAACATAACCCACAGACCACCAAGATTCGCCTCTCAAGTCACATCCTTGGTCCTTAAGTTGTGCAAAATTCAAGAGTTGAAACTAAGCACACAGCGCCAAGTTGAACCGCCCCCAAGACACCCAGAACCGCGCGCCTCCAAAAGTACCTTGATGGGCAGGGAGAAAAGATAAATCTCCTCCAATGATTTAATCTTCATATCTTTCACCAGACGGCCCAGTTTGGTGACGGGGAGCCACTGGCAGAAAAAAACTCGAGTCAATAGGGCCCAGACGGCCTGCACCGCCCACTTAGCAGCCCTAAGCGCGCAGCCCCGGTGGACCTACCTCCTTGTCCTCGGCTTTGCCTCCTCGAGCTCCGCGGCCCCTCCCACGGCCCCGTCCACGGCCGCGGCCCCGACCCCGCAGACCGCTACCGAAGCCTCCGCGGAAACCGCCGCGGGCTCCCATCCCAGGGCCTCCAGGCCCTCCCGCTGCACCGGCGTCATCCGCCATTTGCTAAAACCAAAAAGAAAAACATTTAAGCCACTAAGACCTGGTCACCCAAAGCCCCCACGAGTGAAAACAGACCTGGATGGGATCTCCCGCCCTAGAGAGGGGAGACACCGGCCCTGGCCCGACACGATGGCCGCGGATACCCACGGGCCAGGCCGAGAACAAGCACCATACCAACAGACACTCACGTGTTTTCTCAGAAAAGAAAGAGACAGTGCGGAAGAGAGTTTTTATGTGGGAAAAAGTATCGCGATATTTCACTTACCCAGACCAAGCCTAAGCTTCTGCGTGATTGGCCCTGAGAGGCTCCGCCCCGCACGTTTACATCCGCCCGCGCCTGCGCCTTGCTGGCACCGTGGAAGGGTGAGTCGAGGGGCGGTGCTGATATAAATATTCGAACGTCTGCGCCCGCTCCTTCTTTTGTAGTCGTACTTGCTTTCTGTTGGCATATTTGGGTAAGTCTGCAGCTCTCCCACTGCATCCGTGATTTCTTGGGATCACCTGGGGACCTGGCGCTGTGTGAAAATCGCCCGCAGCTTTATCCGTGGCCGCAGGTGAGATTCGGCGCCTAGAGTCATCAAGAGGCTTTAGCTCACCGCCCACTGCTTCGGTGTGGACGGCTGAAACCCAGGCCCCGACAAGTGCCGCAGACCCCAGCCCCTGTGTGCAGTTTGCCGGGATCGGCCTCTGATTCTTCTCTTCCTTCACAGGTCGTTGACATCCGAGACTGAAGGCAACGCCACCAGGATAGGCGGGAAAGTTGACCATCCTGATAACGAATAAAATAGTTTATCGTGTGCACACGCATGTGGGTGTTTTTGGAAGCACATTTTATGCTGCGAGATGCACCTGTGTTGGTGCTGAAGTCAAAAGAATCACGCGGTTGCGTCGTAACTGGATCCTCATTAGAGAATAGGTTAAGCCTCCAGGGCTAGCAGATTTACTTTTGGAACCTTGAACTGTCTGTTCATTCCCTGAGAGGGATTCCTCAGGCCTCCACACCGTGGGCACAAACAAGCGAGTTGGTTTGGGTTAAAGAGCAAGGATGGAGGTTAAGATGTAAAGTCTTGCTATTGCTCTCTATATCCCATGGAGGTTTTAGGATTTGTCAAGCTGGGCACCCCAACGCTTACCTTGTACCGTGTTCAGTTCTCCACGTGTAGAATTCTGCTGGTTCTACCTCTGAGGTGGATTGATTCAGTGACTGGGTTAATCGGGATGGGTGTGTCAGGCAGTGAGATTGGCATCTGATGTCTTCTGCCTGGGTTCTTTCATATACATCTTGGTAACCAGCTCTGGGCAGGTTTCCCATTCTAAGACTCTTGAGACCCTACTCTATCCTCAGGAACTAGCCTAGTAGGAACCTAATGTACCTTGAATCCTTGTCTTAGGGTAGAACAATCTCATTGACCTTGAACTCGGTTGTTTGGGAAATTTGTCATATCCAAGGGCAGGGCCTGGCCCAACTCCTCCCTCTCATCTGGAAGTGAGGGCCACAGAGAGCCCTAGGAAAGGATCATGATTAGACAATTCACAGTCAACACTCTTGGCACCAACAGCCAGGAAATTAAAAGATATATTGCCATGGGAAAGTCTGCTGTTGGGGACCTCTCCAAAGTACTGAAGAGCAGTAGTGTCACTCTGGATACTAAGGTGCGCCTGATACAAGCCGTGGTCTTTGCAATCACTTGTTATGCATCAGAGTTGAAAAATGACTAGGGAGGATAGGAGAATTGATGCATTTGAGCTGCAGTGTTGGAGAATAGTATTGAACATAATCATGGACTAAGAAAACAAACAGGTTTGTCCTAGAGAGGATTAAGCCAGGCTGCTCGTTGGAGATGATTCTGAAGCTTTATCTGACATATTTTGGACATGTTGCAAGGAGAGCCCAGTCCTTGGAGAAGATTATGCTTGAGAGTTGTACATAGGGTGACTGAATAACAGGCAACTCGATGGATGTCAACCTCCTATGAAATGGGGATCCTTGTTTCCTGTGGGACTGTGAAGCAGCTGTCCACAGAATCTATTGTGAGCCTCCTTCCCTTTTATCAATGTTCAAGACTGGACCCTGTTCCTCACTCAGGAAGGATGGAGATAGGGAGGGCACTTCCCTGTCAGGTCTAACTTAAAACCAAAGCTAGCATCTCCACCCCGAAGTTGGTGGGCTTGGGACCTCAAGGCAGGTGCTGGCCTAGCTTTTCCAGTCAGGGTTTCTGTGGGGTAGCTAACAACACCTTGTGGGGGCTAAGCTCTTGACCTCTTCACCACCCCTCCTAACTGCAGCTTCCTGAGCTCCGTGTGCCACAAGGTGCTCAAGAAACACATCTTCCAGTGGCTGAATAGGTGTCACAGGCATCCCTGGGGGCAAGGGGCAAATGTCTTAGAAGTCAGAGGTGTGGAGGCCAGGAGCCCCCAAGGAACTGGGGGAAAGATTGAAGCACCGGAGGGATGCAAGACAGGATAAGGTTGGCCAAACATTGGGTCAGAGTGGCTATAAATTCACCCAATAAGGTTGATACCCAGAAGTGCAGGAAGTCCTCCAGCTAATTGCTGGGCTCCCACCCTACCCACTAACAGCTTCCTGAAGGGATCTCCTAGCAGGGAGGCAGGCAGGTGGTTCCTGCTTTTCAGACAGAATACTTGCTCAT